ATCTGACGGAAAGTATTATTCACTCTCGTCGACGATTAATTCATGTGCGAAGATTTACTGCTGCTCATGAAGTAAATGGCGAGGAAAATAATTGCAAGTAAATTCAAATTTTCTATTTTGAAGTTGTAAGAGTTTGCTCGTTTGTTTGCTGCAATGGCGTGTGTAAATCTGGTCTTTCCTTCACACAAAATCTAAATTCGAATGAGACACTTCAACGAGACACAAGGGGATTTAATGCGTATATTTGTTGTAGAACTGAAAACTTCGCTCGTCCTTTTACAACGAACAAATTGTTTGAGAGAACTTGGATATTAAATGAATGAAGGTTCCATCGATTAATTCAATTTTGACCAAATACCTCACGTTTTAACTTTCTAAGTATTTTTTGTGAAGGATTGAAATTAATTACAGACAGGTTTTAGGCCGCTTATCAACCAATTTAATGGCACTTTAGCTTATACAAATTAATTTCGAAACCAATATTTTTCTGTCAACCAAGGTGATTTGAGAGAGAGAAAAGAGAGGATTCATAAGTTAGTAATAGGTTTGAGTTAGTGACCGACGTCTTTGCTTAGAAATACTGCCCGTCGGGAAAAACGGATACGGACCGCGCAAAGAACCAATCAGATTGTAGGATACGTTACCGTGCCCTCTGAGAAAAAAATAAGGGAGAATTAATGAGAGGGAGATATGGAGAGCGAATCAGCATTTCCTCAAACGATGTGAGTGTTCCAACTCTAGCGAATGAATTTCGGATTTGTACATCACTCTTTTATAACCACTGATGGAATTGAACATGTAAAAATAACTTATTTCATTCCTTTTAACAGGGAACGTCAGGCTTCTGTGTCTATCCCATTGGAAGATTTTCATCCCAAGATCGATACCAGTAGAACCAAATTTTCTTTCTTTGAACGGTAAGCTATCTGTGCGCGATAATCAACTTTTCAGACTGATACGGAAAACCAATCCGTAGTTTACTCCGCAGTGTATCTATTTCGGTTTTGCACATCACCCTTTTTCAACTTCAGATGGATTTGAGCATGCAAAAATGAAACATTTATTTCCTCTTATCAGGGAACCTAAGGCTTCACGGTCCATCCCTTTGGAATGGTTTGATTTTCATCACAATGTCCTCGTGAACTTTTCGTTTTCTAGCAGATGTGATTTGCATGATCCAAGACAAAACTACAAACGGTTATAAGATAATTGAGATAGTTTGAACGCTCTCATAGGTCACTGAAAGACAAACTAAAACCAGAAGCGAAGCCGATTCACGTGTTGTCCGACCTGTCAAACTTAAAGCTTTCGCGACTCCAGATTTACCGCACGAACGAGATGCTGTTGTTGTGTTCAAATCTATTCTGAAAAGAGACCACAGTCCAGAACAAACCAAATGCACCCCTTTATCGGGTGTTAATTAAAAGTTGGTTCAAAGCCAATGCTAATGGGAGTTAACAAACTTAACAGTCTCACGAAAACAATAGCTGAAAAAGACGGTCTTGACTACTCTCACCTTACGAACCACAGTGCGTGAAAACGAATGATTCAAACATTGAATGATAAGGGTATTCCTTCTAATCATATATAATGCAGTTATCAGGACACAAAAATGTGCAGAGTACTTACAACTACAGTCATCTTTCACAAAAAACAATGGAAAAGTATGTCAAGAATATTGAGTGGCCCGACTTCAATAGTTCAAACTGAAACACACTCTTGTCGAAACAACGTAACAACAAAGTCAAACGCCGACAGCAGCAGGGCTATTCGAGGGTGCTGTGCTTTACGGAAGAAATTTCAACATCAAGTCGTCCTCGTCTTCAACAGAAGCACATAAACAACAAACTTGCATATTTGACTCTTCAGACGACGAAGACACTACATGAGTCCACCTTTGACATAGAAAGAGTCAGCTTCGTTGAAAAGCTAAGTACTCATTTTTTTCAAGCTTTTCCTCCTTTTTCTTTAGGATATTTTTGAATGAATACTTACGAAAATTAATTCGTTGCTAATAAACTGTCATGCTGTAAGCTTAGTTAATTCATTTCAGTATTTAATTTCACCATTTCCAGCCTTGATTTAACTTGTAAGGCACTTTTTTTGCTAGTTCCATAGAATTAGCTTTCAAACCTAAGTGGATACTTGTGAAAGCGACTTGATAAATCACTTTGAATTTCAAGAAAATCCCAGTTCGTATATAATAAACAAACTCACTCTCGCTTAGCCTCGTTCGTTCGTTTTGTGAAAGTGGTCAACTGTACCGCTGTTTCTAGTATACAGTCACTCAACTCTCTTCCCTAGGACCATCTCTTATAAAGTTGCTATATTTCTACCCAATTATACAGATGATGTAGGTCAACCATCTCCATTCTTTTATTCTGTCTGAATTTAGTTTTTAATTTGACAATTTGCTGATTTCAATATTCTCACAAGAAACCACCTTAGTTGGCAAATGTGAAGTGAGACTTCTGTACAATCATGGTTGATTACAAGAGAGTTTGAAGACTGTATACATATATATGTATAACATGTAATATTTTGAGCAATTTAAGTAATTGAGCAGCCTACATTTAAGTTATTGTCAGTGGATAGTGAAATCAGTTTCTAGAATATTTTGCTTTCCCTGACCACCATTTGGCACTTGTGTCCAGGATTGAATGCAGGTGTTTTTTGGCAAACAATTCACATTTTATGAATAGATTTTTGAACATTATCAGACTACATTATCACAGAATTGTGCATTTAAGTGAATTTTTATTAGTGAGAACAATTTATCATGCTCATTTTAAAGAGCCCAAAGTCCTTGACATATCTGCTATTTTAGAGGTGGCTGCAATTTTCATTCTTCCTTTTAGAGTTCTCTTGTTCTCCATCAGATGGAGTACTCCAAGATTTTCTCAGTCCAAGTAAATATTTTCTCTTTAAGTTAATATTTTAGAAGTTTCAATGATTTTCAAATTTGGCTCAAACTGTTATAATTAATATATCAGAGTCAAAGATACATGCAGCCTTCACAGTTAAGGTTTAGGAAAATTCTGTGTTTGAATTGCAGCTAGTTGTATTTTTAGTCAATTAAATTTGTTCTCCAGTAGCAATTTCAAACATCAGAAGTTTTTCAAATAGATCTAAGGTAAAAAACTAAATGTAAGGTGGTATTCTCAGAATGTTGCCTTGATTCCCTCAGCACATGAAGTTCACATAATTATGTTTTCTTCAAACCTTGACATTCATTTTTGCAAAATGTTTATAGTTTGTATATATAGACCCGCACATAATTTTTCAGACAGTCATCCTTCCAATTTTATAATATCAGTTATACTGTACGGGTTAAGTTTTGCCTCTTTTGGCTTTAGAGAGAAAAAAATGTGTAAAGTGAAATAAGGATGACAAACATGATTGTTATCAGGCTCCGTTTTGGACTCTGAATAAATTGTACCGCTAACATCATTGTGCATCAATAAACTTGATAAGAATTATTAAAGGAGTGCTGATCCTGTCTGGGAGAGGGAAGTAGGACAAAATGCTTTGAGAACCTGCAGTAGAGCTGAGTCCAGGAAGTGAAATTTAACGAACAGTAATTAACCGTGCGGCGGTAAACACGGGAAAATGCATCCCTTGCACGAATTCACCGTTACAGAAAATACCGGAAAATGCATGCTTTCGACTGGTTAATACCAGTGAACATAACGTTGGACTGCGCAAAATGGCTGTAAATGGCAGAATACATGTTGTTTTCCATAGATTAACCGAACAACAATAAAAGGTAAAACGCCTGAAAATGCGAAATTTCTCGAATTCACTATTGCGGAAAAACGTTGGAAAATGCATGCTTTCGACTGGATAATTCTTGTGAACATTTCGTTCACCGGGCGTAAAATGGTTGCGAACAAAAGAAAACATGGCATTTTCTATGCGTTATACGAACTGCAAACTCTGGAAAATATTATGTTTTCCCGTATTTACACACATTAACCTTCCCGGAAAATGCGTGTTTTCAGCTGTTAACTCCGGTGAATACTTTGTTGTTCACTCGGAAAATGCCAATGAACGAAAGGAAAACACGCTGTTTGCCATGTGTTAACCGAGCGGTTAATGCCGGAAAATGAATTGTTTACCTGCATTTACCGCGAAGGAAAACTACCGAATAATGGAACGAATACTGGGATTCACCGATGCGAAGACGCGCAGAAAACGTCGGATTTTCCGTGGGCAAAACACGGGTAAACGATAGTAAATTGCCACGTTTTCCGTAAATTCAACCTTCGTTTTCCGTACGGTGAACGCTTTTTTTTTGCCGTGTATATAATAAACAAACTCACTCTCTCGCTTAGCCTCGTTCGTTCGTTTTGTGAAAGTGGTCAACTGTACCGCGGGCACGCTAACACCACGGCTTTGTCCAGTAGTCCAGTGTTCAGTGCACTGGGCTCCGAGTCGGACGACCCAGGTTCTAGTCCTGGCCAGGGCAAGGCGTTGTGCCCTTGAGACGTGCGGAAAAAAAATGCGAGTTCTGCTTTTAGGCTTAGCTAAATCTATATATTATGCTGGAGAGCTTGTTAGTAGTAGTCCATGGTTCGGCCGGACATGTTTGCTTGCCTATTTGACTGTGAGAACTCTGGGTATAGAATAGTTTCAACGCAAGGGGTCTTGAAACAGTTAAAAAAAACACCGTGGGCAGCTATGGAGGACTTTCCTGGTAAGTAACTGTGTTTTCTTCTCGATCCGTGCCTTATCCTTGCTAAAAAATAATAAGGAAGAAAACACAGTTACTTACCAAGAAAGTCCTCCATGGCTGCTCACGATGTTTAAAACCCCCTGCGTTGAAATTATTCTGTACCCAGAGTTCTCACGGTCAAACAGGCAAGCAAACAAATCCAGCCGAACCATGGACGCTGGAAATCATCGGCTACTACAGACAAGCTCTCCAGCATATTACTCTTTTCTGGAGACCACCGAAAATTATACTTTACAAATTCAGCGCAAAAATCAGGTTTGTTCACGTCCCCGAGTCCCACGTCCCCGAGTCCCACGTCACAGAGTCCACGTCCCAGAGTCCACGTCCCAGAGTCCACGTCCCAGAGTCCACGTCCCCGAGTCCTAGTCCCCACGTCTCAGTCCCACTTTTAGTCACAGCCCATATGCGGTGAAACATGGTTTACCTACCAAACATGGCCGAGGCATCAGAAGGCTGCGCGTTAGAGGACAAAGCGAGTTGTACGCGGGGAATATATATAACGGCGTAATATGCGACTAACACAGTCTATATAGTGTAAGATTTTACGCCACTAACTCAGTCGGTGATTAAATTATAATAAATTAAAATATAATTAATTTATACTACTGGCGTAAAATGTTACATATATATATATCACCGACTGGAAGAAATTACGCCGTTAGTTACTGGCGTAAAATCTTCCATATATAACTACCGACTGGAAGAAATTACGCCGTTAGTTACTGGCGTAAAATCTTCCATATATAACTACCGACTGGAAGAAATTACGCCGTTAGTTACTGGCGTAAAATCTTCCATATATAACTACCGACTGGAAGAAATTACGCCGTTAGTTACTGGCGTAAAATCTTCCATATATAACTACCGACTAGAAGAAATTACGCCGTTAGTTACTGGCGTAAAATCTTCCATATATAACTACCGACTGGAAGAAATTACGCCGTTAGTTACTGGCGTAAAATCTTCCATATATAACTACGGACTGGAAGAAATTACGCCGTTAGTTACTGGCGTAAAATCTTCCATATATAACTACGGACTGGAAGAAATTACGCCGTTAGTTACTGGCGTAAAATCTTCCATATATAACTACCGACTGGAAGAAATTACGCCGTTAGTTACTGGCGTAAAATCTCTCATATATAACTACCGACTGGAAGAAATTACGCCGTTAGTTACTGGCGTAAAATCCTCCATATATAACTACCGACTGGAAGAAATTACGCCGTTAGTTACTGGCGTAAAATCCTCCATATATAACTACCGACTGGAAGAAATTACGCCGTTAGTTACTGGCGTAAAATCCTCCATATATAACTACCGACTGGAAGAAATTACGCCGTTAGTTACTGGCGTAAAATCTTCCATATAAACATAACCGACTGGAAGAAATTACGCCGTTAGTTACTGGCGTAAAATCTTCCATATAAACATAACCGACTGGAAGAAATTACGCCGTTAGTTACTGGCGTAAAATCTTCCATATAAACATAATCGACTGCAAGAAATTACGCCGTTAGTTACTGGCGTAAAATCTTCCATATAAGACAACCGACTGGAAGAAATTACGCCGTTAGTTCTTCATAGTTCTCTTAAGTTGCCCTGTGTTTTTATTTCCCTTGCTTTCTGTTCTCTGCTGGTAGATATGTCTAAGTTTTGAATGATATTTTTTTTTGAGGAATCCTTGCTTTATAACTTTGATGCTTGAGCAACACAACAGTTCAATGTCAGTAGCATGGTATTTTGATGCAAACAATAGTGTTGCAATCAGTGGCTATGAATGTAGGAAAAAAATTCAAGCTTGTGCTGGATTCATACCCATGACCTCTGTGATACCAGTGCAGTGCTCTACCATTACTGAGCTAACAACCCTTGCGAACTGAATTCCCAGTTTTCTGGGAATTCCTAGGAATTCTCAAAAATTCCCAATTATGCAAATGACCCTTGCAAACTGAATTCCCAGTTTTCTGGGAATTCCTAGGAATTCCTAGGAATTCCTAGGAATTCTCAAAAATTCCCATCTATGCAAATTAACTCTGATTTAAAAAGCTTGGAATTACTGGGAATTTCTGGGAAAGGAAGACTCCAGTTTTGTGAGGACTTGGAATCCCTAGGAATTCCTAAGAATTCTCAGCTTTACAAACTACCTATAATTTAAGAAGTGTGGAACTCTTGGGAATTGCTGGGAATTGAATTTGAGGCAATTTTAATACCCTGAGGTCCACATAAATTCTAAGAAATTCTCAATACCTTGAATGTGAAGGTTTTAAGAAAAAGAGTAATTTCAGAGGCTTAAAACTTTGGCTCAATAAAAGGTATGCTATACAAAACTTACCAAGAGATATACATACAAGTACATGTTTATAACTTAAAGATCATGAAATTTATTACTCAAACTAAGTTTTAGTAAATCTTTATATTAATATGGATTTTCTCATGAACCAGCTGTCAGTTATGTTAAATGGAAATTGCCAACTTCCACAATAATTAACAATAATTACATTGTTATCTTACTTCCCTAACCTACATTACTGGTTGCCTTTGTTAGAAAACCTTGGAACAGTCAAGCTCAGTTGCCTCAAACGCTGTCAGAGACTTTTTGTTGACAGGGTTCGTACCCTTTTTTGGACTAAAAATTCAAGGACTTTTCAAGGACTTTTCAAGGAAATATTTTTTATTTTTCAAGGACTCCACCAACTGCAAAATAAAAGAATGTTCACCTTATCATAGTAGCGATTGTGCCGAGCTTAAGTCGAGCTAAAAGTCTATGCCTTTTTTAGTTCATCCACAACATTCGCAATTTTGCACTCAAGGTCTTTGCGAGCTATCTCCTTTTCTTTTGCAGTTCTCCTCAAACTATTTGACTTTGTAATCCACACAAGTTTCCCAGTGTCCTCTACTTTCTGTGCAAACTCGTCTGCCGATTTAACAAGATTGTCAACATCACTGTCTAAACGCCTTCTTTTCTTTTTAAGTTCGTCAAGTTCATCGACTAGCTCCTTTCGCTTCAGTTCTACACCCTCAGAGGTTTTCTTCCTCTTTTGTTCATCAAGATATGATAAATACTTCTGCCTAGCTCCTGCAGCTGACAAAAGAAGTGGTTTGTTGATTGAAACAGCAAGGACACCTCCCACAGATTGTACATGGTCTTGTACCAGCCTTTGAGCAATGAAGGAGCGCTCTTGGAGGTTCTCGACTTCCAGTTGCTTATTGACTGAGAATCCTCTTTCGACACTGGCCTGGCCATGTGATAATATCAGTAGCTCTGAGACTACTTTCCACAATGATTGGTAGGATCGCTTCTGTCCCATGTGAAGATACAGAAAGGAATCAAGTCTATCATTGTTAGGATCATAGTCTTTGAACTCCGACGGAGAAGAAGAGGGGACTTCCATAATGAATTGTCTAAATAGTTCCAAAAGGGAATCACATTCACCTTCCGGGACTTTCTTGGCATTTTCAAGGGTAGTCAAAACTCTCTTGAATTTTGTGATGGAAACATCATGGTCACTCATCATGTTTCTTGGATCTAAGCAATTTATATTCCTTACAAGGGAATACTGAATTGGTGCTTTGGCAATCAGTTTGCAAACTACTTTCATAAGGAACTCCTTGCATTCCATCTGAAACTGAAGCACTCTTTTCTCTGAAACTGTGGACTTTGCAATCGACTCCTTGATCTTCTTGTCAGCTGTAAACCCCAGGTCAATCTTGGAATGAGAGGCATGAATGCTGGAGTCAGCAGGGTCAAGTTTTGTAAGCTTCAATGGGGTTTTGGCTTCACTGATAACAGTGGTCTTAATAAATCTTCTCATTAATCCCCCAAGCATGCTGTACAGGTCTGTAGCCAGGAAAGGAAGCATAGGCTTGTCGGTTTGATAGAGTGTCAAAAACGGTGTCACTTGCTTGGCTACTGATAGGAAGAAAGCGACTTTTGCAGTCGTAAAGGGATCTGCAACAAACTCTTGTACAGTTTCAAAGGATTTATTCTGTGGCTGTGGAACTTTTCCTGCCCTTGCACTCTGAACATACTTGACAACACTGTCCCACATACTCTGTGTACGTTCTGCAACCAAGACATTCTCCAACCACCTATGTTTGCAGAACTTCAAAGCAAACAGTGAGTTTCCTGTTACTTTGGTGTAGTCCTCTCTCCTTGCCGGACTGTCCTGAAAAAGCCAGTGAAGGCTGGAGAACAACCTGTCTAACTGCCATCCTGATGCCACAGCACCATCCTTGAATGTTCCATGAAGAATGTGTAAACCACAGCTGCCAATGTTCAGCATGTGACTATTATGCTCCCTTTTTGCCTCATCAGTCAGCATACTGTAAAATTTCCAATTAACGTCGGGTCCATCCATTGACAACTAGTATGAGAGAAAACATTCCTTGTAATATTGAAAGGGAAACAGATTATTTAATTTAGTACTTGCATTACGTCCCAGAGTTCGTGTCATTGTCCACCTAGACACGAAGTGAACTAGTCATGGATGCATTGGAATTGTGAAGATTTGCAATGAAAGAGTGTTGATTTATTTAGACCTTAAAGGGCAGAAAACCAAGTAAGGTGTTTCATTTCTATTTAATACAATTTTATCGCTTTTTGGAACATTGGCTAGATTGTGAACGCACAATTTATATTACATGCAATAAATTAGATTAAGTAATCTTGCATCTTTCGCCCTTCTACAGCAAAATAATAACAGACATTGAAAGATTTTCATGTTAAAAAAAATTTAACGCAACTTCTTGTAATTATCGTTCGCCGGCGAACGATGAAATTAAATGCCAGTCATGAAAACAATATAATTGATTCCAATTTGATCACACCTTTTTAATAATGGCAAGACATAGGTCTTTCAAAAGAGTGGCAATATGACAAAGAATAATTGAAATTAGGTAATTGTGTGAAGACTAAGTTTGTGCTATTGCCTATTTCGAAATGTCGATAATTGAGGGTAAGAAATAATACAACTTCAAAGAAGCATATCTTGCAAACAATTTCATGGATTACCCAAACATAACGAGAGTTGCATCCTACCTGATAAACTTTTTTGAGAGGAATTCCTTCTATGCCTGAACGAAAATGAGAAAGCATGTCCTCTGCTGTTGCATGTCCTCTGCTGTTCCATGCCCCATAAACACTGAGGTATAATAGCGACTTTCAACTTCGTGTTTGTCATGATTCCATGAACGAATGTGAATATCCATTTGCTTTGACTGGCACACGCTATTCAGGCTCTCGTCAAACATAAGTACATAAGCTTCTTCTTTTTTCACAACGTCCTTCAAAAGTTGTTTGAAGTGTGGAGCGAGCCCAAAACAGATCAAGTATGCACATTTCTTTTCTCCGCATGTAAACTGACTCGCGATCCGACTGTCAGGAAACATCGTTTGAAACAATTTGCTCGTACCTTCGCATGATTTATAGGAGTAATGAGACATTATCACCTTCAATGCCCACAAAATTTCTGCTTTCAAAGTCTCATCACGAGTGACAATTCTTTCCATCACCGATGAACCAGATGAACTCGTAGTACTAGACTTTGTGGGGTTGAGCGTGTTGTGTTCGCCACTTTCAGACGAAGCGGATTTTGAAACTTCTTTGGCATCGTCACTTGTAGTTGCTGGTTGTTGAGAAGAAACGCCAAAAAAATCTGGAACGCTTGCTAATGACCTTTTCTGGGATGTCAGTGTTTGATGTTTTTTTCCTTTCAAGTGACTTGTGAGCGCTGACTCTCCCATGCTCGAAATGTCAACATCCTTCATACACACGATGCATCGTGCCTTGTGCTTGTCACCCTTGACTTCTCGAAGCCAATCTTTATACAGTGATTTCTGAAGCCACAAGTTGCTGAAAACACACTTGCCCATTGTTTTAAATCTCTCACTCGTGAAACAAAACGCAAACAATCAACACTAACCCAGACAAGGAAAGCACTCAAAGCACATGGCTTTTCTCAGAAAGAGGGAATAGTACAAAACATTTGATTGGCCCTTGACATTCGAGACATTCAACCAATCAGAGTGATTAATAGAACCAAGAACAGGACAAATGGATATGGGCGATTGATCGACATGCGGAGTGGCGTTACGATCGTTTGTTATTTGTATCTTACTATTATGTGTTGCTACGTTTGTGCCAGTTGCATATATTTTCAGATAAGGCACTCTAGAATCTAAGTTGGATTAAATTAGCTACAAATTTCAAGGACTTTCCAGCACTGACTACAATTATCAAGGACTTTCAAGGCCTTGAATTTTTATTTTGAGATTCAAGGACTTTCAAGGACTTTCAAGGCGCGTGCGAACCCTGTGTTGACAATACTTTTAGTAGAAATTTCATGCCTTAGACCAACAAATTCAACACCTAATTAATCTTTCTTTTTTCATGATTGTTGTTGCTGCTTTTTTTCAGTTTTTTGCTCTATTTTCATGACTAATTGCTGTAATTTGTTTTCCTGTTTTTATTCTTACAAAACATTTTTGTAAGAGTTCCAATACTTGTGGATCATCCACACACTTTGCAAACATTTGGCATGCAGACAAGACACCTGGGGTAGTCAATGTACCCTTTGAGGAAAAACACCTTTTATATGACGTCTTCAATTTACTTTATTTGAAACTCTGATCTGAAAATATTTGTCAACAAGACTTGTTAGTAGTGAGAAGTACCAACCAAGTTTCCTTTCATAACTTAATTTCTTAAATGTCCCAATCACTGGATCTCCCAAAAAAATATTACATCCTTTTATTTTTGGTGCAAATTACAAGTCCTTCTTTATATAAAAATGAAAAATGCTAGTCACACTTCAGTAATAACAGCTCTTAAGTTTACTTGTTGTTCTTCTCTGTCTGTCAGCTATCAACAAAATTGTTTTATACTTCGGGCAGTGCATAACTATTTGTGGACCAGAGTTCCAACGCACCTCTGTAATCGCATATAGCTACTCCTGTCTCTTGTACAAATGTTTCTCCTTTGTAAGACGCACTCTACTCTGTTGTCAATACTGCTTTAAGTTCAGTGGAAACGACTGACTGAGGAATCGAGATGGCGGTGTTGGAACGTGTTGCTGAACGCTTGCTACGGTCAAGCTTTGTAGATTTAGGTACAGGTACACTGGGATCATCTATGTATCTCTTACACTTCCGAATGTAGTATCCTTCTTTTATAAATATGAGGGTAAAAGACGATTTGTAGTCGCATTCAAAACTGTGATTGGCTTGTGTTATTTCTCACCTTTGCCATTAACACAACTCAAGTGAGTTTCGAGTCTTTGTTTCCACGACAACTTTCGGCCACAAATCGTGCATTTGTAATACGATCGATTCTTGTCGATTATTTCTACATAGAGTGAGCTCACATCTTTATTTATATCACCAAGCTATACATCTTCTAGAAGCAGACAACCGGTCGGAGAAGTCAAAATAAAGTTCGGCGCTTCTCTTAACACTGCAATCGGCATGCCAGCGGATTCACTTTGCTAGCCAATGACAAGTCCTAAAAGATCCACGTGATCATGCCCGTGATCGGAAACAAAGAAGACTCCATTTGGCGCTCATCTTTGAATGTACTTTTCATCGGTTGATCGCTTTTCTCAACTGTTTTGCTTAATATAACATTTCTAAAGATAGCTTTTATTCTGGTTCAATGGGAAAACGAGAATAGCGTGAGTGTTGTAAAAGAGAAGAAAGTCGTTGGCGCCGTGGAGTTAAAAGTAGGGACAACAGTTGACAAATGGACCGGTACAAACAAGGGTCGAGTGGCCATCTGTAAAGCTACGATTTTGAAAGTTTGTGGTGAGTAAAAATTGCGATATTCGTTGTGATCAAAATCTTATAAAAGAATAGATGTAGCGGGTTGAATTAAGCTTACATAACGCTCGGCGCAACTGAAACTAGAATAATTCTGAGAATCGAATCGGTCACTTGCATGCTGCAGTTTCTTAAGCTTATGCTTTACAATGAAACAAACCTATCAGTAAGGTTTAAAGATTCCTCTAGTCACGTTTGGGAACATTCAAGATTCATAACAAACTTTAATACATAAAGAAGCCCTCCTTGGTAAAAACAAAATAATGTATTCAGCCCTTTTTTAGTAAAATCCATGAGAGAGATGTACTAACTCCAATATAAAAGTCACTCAATGTAACACAGATTTCTCAATTTGAGAATCCAATGAATGCCCTTTTCCTCATAGCCATCTTAAAAGCCTGGTCTGAGCTTTAAACATACATATTTTAATATATTTTTTTTTTCAAATTCAGATGTCAAGGAATCCAGATACAAAATGGTCAAGGTTCTTGTTGATAACCTCATTCAAGGCCAACTCATTGCGAGTCCAGGAAAAAAAAATACAAACAGTACAAACAGCAGCTAAGTTTGCAGTTTAGGATAACTTCATTCTAATTTATTGTTACAGTTATAACAAGATTTTAATAAAAAAATCAATTTTATTTGTCTGTAATTAGCCCCTTCACTCCCAAGAATATAACTATATAAATATAACTTAGGATATTGTATTTTTTGGAAAAGAATCAACAGATTTTATTCACAATTTGTGTCAAACCAAATTTAATGATTGATTAGAACTATTTTATACGAATAGCTATAATTGAGGATTAATCCGTATGAAGTTTTCAAGAAAAGAAAAATAAATCAAATTCCATCCTAATATTACCACACATTGATGTTAATAATTAATCAAAAATATTTTACATGTACGCCTTAATCAAGCTTTTAAATAAATTTCATTGAATACTTGAATTTTAGCTGGGTTTTTTTAATTTAAAGTATTTATTTTATATCATTAGCCTCAAATTTTTGCTTAAAATTCCCAGTAATTCTTAAACATTCCTAAAAATTCACAATTCCCAGAAATTCCCAAAATTCCCAGAAATTCCCAGAAATTCCTAGGAATTTTTTAGATTTACAGCTTTTCAGGGAAAGTCATTGGTTCTCTGAGTTGGAATTCCTAGGAATTCCTAGGAATTCCTAGGAATTCCAAGTCCTGTTGGCTATAAACTTGGAATTTCTGGGAATTTCTGGGAATTTCTGGGAATTTCTGGGAATTTCTAGGAATTTCTAGGTTTTTAGAACCAGAGTTGTTATGGTTGGGAATTCCTAGGAATTCCCAGTCCGAATTTACCGTGAAAATTCACACCTTTATTCCTAGGAATTCCTAGGATTTTCCTAGGAATTCCTAGGAATTCCAAAAGCCATTTCGCAAGGGAAACCAACTGGGAGCTAGTCATTATGTTGGTTCATAATAAAACCATGAAGTGATGAATCAATTTTTTCTTTTTTTTTTTCTTTTTTTTAATTGTGACTTATTTATGTATATATTCACTCAAACTAGCACTGGTGTGCTAAACAATAAGCAAGTTCAAATAAAGCTTTATTACTACTACAATGACCATGAAGATAGTTGGTTGCAAGTTAGCACTTTCTTTTTATCAAATATGGTTATGAAGACTGAAAATGACACTTTATTAGACTAAGTTGTTTTGGTACAAGATATCCCTCATGAAATTTGACTCATTATATTTGCAACTTTTGGTCTCTTCTATTGATGCAAAATTGAAAGACCCTAAACAATTAGTAACCATATATACAGTACTGTAGGTAAGATAATGTGAAAAGGTTCATTATTTGTTCATTGTTTTATAGTTCCTATTGACTCAACTAAAGGAATCAAGATGTTATATGTATTTGTGGACATAAAGCTGGATGCCACACATTTTGTCAACACAGTCAGACACAATTTTGAAGCCGGAAAGTCACTTGCACTTTTGAGCACAATCCAGTTTGTGACAACACTTCAAGTATGTATTAAATGATTACACTGATGGGACAGTATTGGGATCATGTTTATTGTAGGTACAGTACTCTTGACTGAATATATTGGTTGAGAGTTGGTCGATACTTAACCAATATATTGGTTGACAGTTGGTCGACAGTCGGTCGACTGACTGCTTCTTCTGGATGGGAGGAGCATCTCACATGGTTCTCTATCAGGCATTTTGTCAAGTTTCCATGACAACACACCAGTACCCATTTCTCTCCAGGCTAGAGAGAGGGGAGAGAGAATGCAACACAGTGACTTGGCTGAGACTTAAACCCTGTGGTTTGGACCCAGTGTCTCCTTTTATTGTGTTCATACTTTCAAATAATTTTTACATATATGTATTTAATTTGTTGTTTACCCAGGCTGTATATCAAGACCTGTGTAAAGATTATCAGGTAGAGATTCTGCAGTGTAAACCATTGTCACCTGGAGAGATTCTGGGCTGCACTGCTCCTAGAATAAAACACAAGGATGCATTCATGTAAGAAAATTATTAAGCAAAACAAGGAAATAATTAATATGTAATTTAGTTCATTATGAACTAAACTGCACCAACTCTTTCATAGGGAGTACTCTTAAACAAATTGAATATTCTTTTGAAAATCTTTCTTATTATTTGTATTGGCAAATCTAGTTGTAAGTACTGTAGTGGTTTAGTTTCATTAAAAATTTGCACCATTAGATCTGAAGCTATTTGCTTATAAATAAAACAATGTTCTGAGCCATAAGGATCACTGTAGTTAGGATGAAAATAAGGCAGTTTGTTCATGTTTTCACCATGTCCGTTGTTTTGTCAGGAAAACTCCCATCAAGCCTCTGTCTTTGGAAGAATTGTTTGGCATTCTTCCTGCTGTGTCCATGGCATATTTATTGTTTAGTGATGTTGCCTAGCAACAATGGTGCCCACTTTGACTAAAATAATCATGTTTGTTCTGAGGACTAACTTAAAATCATTTAACCCTTTCATTCCCAAGATCTCATTAGTAATTCTCCTTACTGTCTACCATACAATTCTTTTGATGTTAGTGTGGAGAATTTGGTACTGGATGAACTACAACTACCATAATTGATATTTTCCTTTAGTTCATCACTTGTCTGCTTGATATTGTATTGATATTGTAAGGAGAAATTCTCTCTTGGTCACTCATAGGAGTGAAAGGGTTAATCATTTAATTGGGTGGAAATTGAGTATAAGTGTTATCAAAAACTAAATTGGGAAACAGATAAGTGGGTGTTATGTTATTGATTAATGTGTTATTATTGCAATTATTCCTAATTAAATGCTTGTTTTGTCACTGTATTTACCATTTTGATTATAAGTTGCAGCTATCATTTAGGCACATGCCACCGACCACAGCGGGTACTTGTTTCAATTTTTTCATTGGAATGATCTTTAAACTTCAACTTTTTTTTTAGTTACTTAGGTGATGGAAGGTTCCATCTAGAGGCTGTCATGATTGCTAACCCATCTACACCAGCATACATGTACACGTAGAGAACCTCAAAAGGCAGATTTCTTTACGTGTACCAAATAGCCTTGCCTTGCATAACATGTAGCTTCATATTATTTCAATTGGTTGCAGTGCTCAACAGCTAGAGAGGCAGCACAGATTGAGCCATCATTGAAGCCTGATTTTTTCAGATCTCTTTCGTGTAATTCTGTGAATAAAAATTCATCACTTTTTCGATTAAAAAATTGTTTGTCTCTAGTAAAGGCATACTGTCTGTGTAGACAGAGTGCGATGCCCGTCTTTTCCAGTGTTTTCCCTATGCCCTCACTAAAACAGACCCCCTACCGCCTTGTACGCTTTGGATTGTTAGATATTGTATACCTTTCTGGGCCTTTGAGACACACAACTTTGAACTAAAATTCTACTGCACTTTCGCTTTCATCGCAGATACGATCCCTATAGCAAAGTGTTTTCCAGGGAATATTACGATATTGATGCCATGTTTCAAGCGAGGAAAGACGCCATAACTACAGCGTCAAGAGCTAAGAAATTTGGACTCATTCTAAGTACATTAGGAAGGCAAGGAAGTCCAAAGGTGCTATAGGTATTACACACAGCTAAAATGTGAAAATTTTATGAGTAAATATACTTTTTGAACGGAGTTCTACTTTGTGTGATTCAAAATTAAACCTTCAGTTGTGCGTTGAAAGTAATCGGCTATCAGTTCGCCATGTCATGGGTTGACTGACGTGAACAATCCAAGCTACCCTCTCAACCAATCAGGTGCAAGGCAAATACCAATCGTGACTCGGTCAATAATGTTGCTCTCGCTGTACCTTTTAATTTTAGTTCCCATCTGGTTTTGATTATATTTTCCAACGTAGTGATTGGACATCTGCTGGTGACTACTATGTTTTTGGTATTACGGCACACTATCGAAATGCACTTTAAGACATGACTCAGACTCTCTCTGGACAAAATCAAGTCATTCTCGCATCTAAATATAAGTTTTTCTGATGCAATTAACTTTGGGGAAGGCTGCAAATTTAAATTTAAATTCTCCAGTTTTCTTACGATGTAATGTGTGAAATATTTTCGTCTATGCAGAAGAATCTCTATTTTTTGGGCATCCTTATTAAACGTTTTCTCTACTTGAGGGACACAAACTTTGATTAAAACCCTTGTATTCGATGCCGTCATTGAGGGGACACCCCTAGTTCAGGGATATTTTGCTCGTGACGGTTATTATTCATGTTATCATCTTTTCCAAAGAGCTCATAAAGCAGATTTCATGAATCCTTTCATCTTTTAATTTTATCTGCAGAAGTTAGAAGAACGATTCAGCAAGGCGGGCCTGGAATATGTAATTGTACTCATGTCTGAAATATTTCCGGGTAAACTTGGATTGTTCGAGGACGTGGAAGCGTAAGTTGCTTTTCTTTTTAAGATGTGAAAACTGCTTCCCGTCGATAAGATAAGATAAGATAAGAGAGATAAGATAAGAACCGTCTTCACGTAAATTCTGTTTTGTCAATTGTCCTTAACAAAAAATCGCATAATCAGGGCGTGAAATTGCGCCCAATACAGGCGCCAATGCGACTAAATTTTTCACTTTGGCGACCAAATCCTGAAAATTAGTCACCAAATTGGCGACTAGAATGTTTCATCATAACCTTACCAAGAGATCTAGTGAATTAAAAAGATATGCAAAGACAAATCCGCGGCAAACTTCCTCGTTAAGTTTGTTTCCAAAATGCAGCACATGCATCTCGATCGATAACTAGACGCCATCTTTGATTTAGGTGAGCTTAAACGTTGCATATCATCCATCCTAGTGTCCATTTTGTAGCACGTTAAAGATCTTTTCCCCTACTTAATTTCTAGAACGATGACAGCGTAAAAAAGAGGTTGTCTTGGTCATGTCATTCGTTTCCTGCTGTGTAGGAAATTAAATCATTGTCATTTTAAACATCAGAATCAACGAGTCTCTTACCTGTGATCTTTGATTAAAATCCTAAGAGGGCACAAAAGACTACAAATAGAACGGCACCAGATACTAACGAAACAATGGATGAAAAGACTAGTATACTAAGCTAAAGGAGAGACTAACGTAACAATCGAATGTAAGGCGGTCTTAAGACTGCGCGAGACAGTTACGAGATAGGTAATGCGCGGAGATGCTGTCGTAACAGTGTAATCAAAGAACATACTAAAACTGCCTGACATACCTGAACTGAAATAAACTGAAAGAGAAACTTTAAGAGAAAACAGAGATAGAAGCTAAAAGATTAGCTACTAACATAACAAGCCAATCTAAGAAAATTCTAAAAATGCGCGAGATACTAACGTAACTTTTCAATGAAGGAATATCCCGAAAGTGGGCAAAACACGAACCAAACAATCAAAAGGGCAAAAGGGCACGAAGCAGTAGTGAATGAAAGGGAATCCTTAAACGGCACAAGATACAAATGCAACAATCAAATGATAAAGAATCTTTAAAGAGCGCGAGATACTAACGTAACAATCCGATGAAAGAAAATCCTAAAAGTGTGCAAGATATTAACGTTAAAATTAAATGAAAGAAAATCCTAAAAGTGCACGAGGTGCTGTGACAAAATCCAACAAAAGAGAATTCTTAAGGTGAGCGAGATACTAACGTAACAATCCAATGAAGGAGAATTCTTAAAGTGCGCGAGGTACTCACGTAATAATCTACAAAATGGAATTCTAAAAGCGCGCGAGGTACTAACGTAATAATCTACAAAATGGAATTCTTAAAGTGCGCGAGGTACTAACGTAATAATCTACAAAATGGAATTCTAAAAGCGCGCGAGGTACTCACGTAATAATCTACAAAATGGAATTCTAAAAGCGCGCGAGGTACTAACGTAACAATCTAACGAATGAGAATTCTTAAAGTGCGCGAGGTACTCACGTAATAATTTTCAAAATGGAATTCTAAAAGCATGCGAGGTACTAACGTAACAATCTAACGAATGAGAATTCTTTAAGTGCGCGAAGTACTAACGTAATAATCTACAAAATGGAATTCTAAAAGCGCGTGAGGTACTAACGTAACAATCTAACGAATGAGAATTCTTTAAGTGCGCGAAGTACTAACGTAGTAATCTACAAAATGGAATTCTAAAAGCGTGCGATGTACTAATGTAACAATCTAACGAATGAGAATTCTTTAAGTGCACGAAGTACTCACGCAATAATCTACAAAATGGAATTCTAAAAGCGCGTGAGATACTAACGTAGCAATCTAACGAATGAGAATTCTTTAAGTGCACGAAGTACTCACGCAATAATCTACAAAATGGAATTCTAAAAGCGCGTGAGGTACTAACGTAGCAATCTAACGAATGAGAATTCTTTAAGTGCACGAAGTACTAACGCAATAATCTACAAAATGGAATTCTAAAAGCGCGTGAGGTACTAACGTAACAATCTAACGAATGAGAATTCTTTAAGTGCGCAAAGTACTAACGTAGTAATCTACAAAATGGAATTCTAAAAGCGTGCGAGGTACTAATGTAACAATCTAACGAATGAGAATTCTTTAAGTGCACGAAGTACTAACGCAATAATCTACAAAATGGAATTGTAAAAGCGCGTGAGGTACTAACGTAACAATCTAACGAATGAGAATTCTTTAAGTGCACGAAGTACTAACGCAATAATCTACAAAATGGAATTCTAAAAGCGCGTGAGGTACTAACGTAACAATCTAACGAATTAGAATTCTTTAAGTGCACGAAGTACTCACGCAATAATCTACAAAATGGAATTCTAAAAGCGCGTGAGGTACTAACGTAACAATCTAACGAATGAGAATTCTTTAAGTGCACGAAGTACTAACGCAATAATCTACTAATAACAACTAACGAAATGGAATTCTAAAAGCGCGTGAGGTACTAACGTAACAATCTAACGAATTAGAATTCTTTAAGTGCACGAAGTACTCACGCAATAATCTACAAAATGGAATTCTAAAAGCGCGTGAGGTACTAACGTAACAATCTAACGAATGAGAATTCTTTAAGTGCGCGAAGTACTAACGTAATAATCTACAAAATGGAATTCTAAAAGCGTGCGAGGTACTAACGTAACAATCTAACGAATGAGAATTCTTTAAGTGCACGAAGTACTCACGCAATAATCTAAAAAATGGAATTCTAAAAGCGCGTGAGGTACTAACGTAGCAATCTAATGAATGAGAATTCTTTAAGTGCACGAAGTACTCACGCAATAATCTACAAAATGGAATTCTAAAAGCGCGTGAGGTACTAACGTAGCAATCTAACGAATGAGAATTCTTTAAGTGCACGAAGTACTAACGCAATAATCTACAAAATGGAATTCTAAAAGCGCGTGAGGTACTAACGTAACAATCTAACGAATTAGAATTCTTTAAGTGCACGAAGTACTCACGCAATAATCTACAAAATTGAATTCTAAAAGCGCGTGAGGTACTAACGTAACAATCTAACGAATGAGAATTCTTTAAGTGCACGAAGTACTCACGCAATAATCTACAAAATGGAATTCTAAAAGCGCGCGAGGTACTAACGTAACAATCTAACGAATGAGAATTCTTTAAGTGCACGAAGTACTCACACAATAATCTACAAAATGGAATTCTAAAAACGCGTGAGGTACTATTGTAACAATCTAACGAATGAGAATTCTTTAAGTGCGCGAAGTACTAACGTAATAATCTACAAAATGGAATTCTAAAAGCGCGCGAGGTACTAACGTAACAATCTAACGAATGAGAATTCTTTGAGTGCGCAAAGTACTAACGTAATAATCTACAAAATGGAATTCTAAAAGCGTGCGATGTACTAATGTAACAATCTAACGAATGAGAATTCTTTAAGTGCACGAAGTACTCACGCAATAATCTACAAAATGGAATTCTAAAAGCGCGTGAGGTACTAACGTAGCAATCTAACGAATGAGAATTCTTTAAGTGCACGAAGTACTCACGCAATAATCTACAAAATGGAATTCTAAAAGCGCGTGAGGTACTAACGTAGCAATCTAACGAATGAGAATTCTTTAAGTGCACGAAGTACTAACGCAATAATCTACAAAATGGAATTCTAAAAGCGCGTGAGGTACTAACGTAACAATCTAACGAATGAGAATTCTTTAAGTGCGCGAAGTACTAACGTAGTAATCTACAAAATGGAATTCTAAAAGCGTGCGATGTACTAATGTAACAATCTAACGAATGAGAATTCTTTAAGTGCACGAAGTACTCACGCAATAATCTACAAAATGGAATTCTAAAAGCGCGTGAGATACTAACGTAGCAATCTAACGAATGAGAATTCTTTAAGTGCACGAAGTACTCACGCAATAATCTACAAAATGGAATTCTAAAAGCGCGTGAGGTACTAACGTAACAATCTAACGAATGAGAATTCTTTAAGTGCGCGAAGTACTAACGTAGTAATCTACAAAATGGAATTCTAAAAGCGTGCGAGGTACTAATGTAACAATCTAACGAATGAGAATTCTTTAAGTGCACGAAGTACTAACGCAATAATCTACAAAATGGAATTCTAAAAGCGCGTGAGGTACTAACGTAACAATCTAACGAATGAGAATTCTTTAAGTGCGCGAAGTACTAACGTAGTAATCTACAAAATGGAATTCTAAAAGCGTGCGAGGTACTAATGTAACAATCTAACGAATGAGAATTCTTTAAGTGCACGAAGTACTAACGCAATAATCTACAAAATGGAATTCTAAAAGCGCGTGAGGTACTAACGTAACAATCTAACGAATTAGAATTCTTTAAGTGCACGAAGTACTCACGCAATAATCTACAAAATGGAATTCTAAAAGCGCGTGAGGTACAAACGTAACAATCTAACGAATGAGAATTCTTTAAGTGCGCGAAGTACTAACGTAATAATCTACAAATTGGAATTCTAAAAGCGCGTGAGGTACTAACGTAGCAATCTAACGAATGAGAATTCTTTAAGTGCACGAAGTACTCACGCAATAATCTACAAAATGGAATTCTAAAAGCGCGTGAGGTACTAACGTAGCAATCTAACGAATGAGAATTCTTTAAGTGCACGAAGTACTCATGCAATACTCTACAAAATGGAATTCTAAAAGCGCGTGAGGTACTAACGTAACAATCTAACGAATGAGAATTCTTTAAATGCGCGAAGTACTAACGTAATAATCTACAAAATGGAATTCTAAAAGCGTGCGAGGTACTAATGTAACAATCTAACGAATGAGAATTCTTTAAGTGCACGAAGTACTCACGCAATAATCTACAAAATGGAATTCTAAAAGCGCGTGAGGTACTAACGTAACAATCTAACGAATGAGAATTCTTTAAGTGCACGAAGTACTCACGCAATAATCTACAAAATGGAATTCTAAAAGCGCGCGAGGTACTAACGTAACAATCTAACGAATGAGAATTCTTTAAGTGCGCGAGGCACTCGCGTAATAATCTACAAAATGGAATTCTAAAAGCGTGCGAGGTACTAACGTAACAATCTAACGAATGAGAATTCTTTAAGTGCACGAAGTAATCACGCAATAATCTACAAAATGGAATTCTAAAAGCGCGTGAGGTACTAACGTAACAATCTAACGAATGAGAATTCTTTAAGTGCACGAAGTACTCATGCAATAATCTACAAAATGGAATTCTAAAAGCGCGTGAGGTACTAACGTAACAATCTAGCGAATGAGAATTCTTTAAGTGCGCGAAGTGCTAACGTAATAATCTACTAAATGGAATTCTAAAAGCGCGTATGGTACTAACGTAACAATCCGAAAAAAAGAGAATCCTAAAAGTGTCCAGAATACCAGGGAATTAATCGATTGAAAGAAAAGCTTCTAGTCTGCGAGATACCAACCAAACAATTGAAAGAAAGAGAAATTATAAGATAGCGCGCGTGCTTGCCCTATACAAGTCCTGTTAAGCCGCTATGAACAAAATCTTTATCTACGCACGCCCGTGCGTAAATTAGATGACGTGATCAATTTTTTTTACCTGGGTTTCCGTCCTGTTAAGCTGCAATGCAGTTTTCCTTCTCTTAGATATGGAAGAAACCAGCGAAGAACTTCCCAATTTTTCTATCGGCATTGACCTTTTAGGTCCTGATCCAACAAGCAACAAAAATAAAGCCCAAAAAAACGCGCAAGTTGCACGTTTCGCAAATTTTCATTCACAGTTATCGGATAACTGGATCAAATGTTCTCCCTCAAACGAAAGTATAAAATGTGGCGTGTTTTTGACCAGCCAATAAGGACGTTTGTGTACTTTTTTTTTGTACGTCGTGAGAATTTTGCGCTCTATCACAATAAAAGGCTGCTTCGCGCAGATCCTTGTTGTCGCTCTGTTATAAAAGAATTTGCTCATACTTTTTGCTGTGCTTATCAAGTTATGGATGCACTTGGGAAGTTTGAAGGGCACTCAAAAAAGAGCACTCTAGCACTCAAAAAGCCAGAGTTGCTCTCGGCTGCGCCTCGAGCTACCCTTCCGCATTTTTCTTGCTCTCCAAACTTCCCGCGTGCATCCATAACTCGATATACGCACGTTAAGCATCAACAATTTCTTAACTTAAAGTGTCCGTGATAAAAATATAGCAATCGATAATAAGAGCAGCCTAAAAGTGTGAAAGATACTAAAGTAGCAATCCAATCGAAGACAATGCTGAAAATGCGCATGACAATAACGTAGCTCTTGAATTAAAGAGAATCCTGAAAGTGGGCAAGACACTAACCTTAGTTAGTTGATCAGATAGCCGAGTGAAAAAGAAAAACCAGAAGATAGGTCTCGGTCTCTCTTGCTTAAGCGAGAGTTCTAAGGCCAGCCCTCAAAAGTTGGTCGTATTACATTGCATCTCCTTGCAGGCATCGGCATGTCGCAGTACTATAAGTGGTTCTATAAGAAGCGTGACTTTTCCATGTTTTCTTTGTTTTTCCCTTTCATGGAACTCGCTGTACTCGCTGTAAATTTTGTTGAACTTTCACCTTCACATAAGAGTGAATATTGGGGTTAGGAAATTTCGAAAAACATTTCCAGTTTGAGTAAAATTAAAGTTTATTCAGAAGTGCTTTTAAGGATTGAAGTTAGAAATATGAAAAGAGAGAGATTCAATCGACTTTTTGGTACGGGATGCGACTTTTTCTCTCCTTTGTTGTCTCTCAAAGGAACTCTTCGTGCTTCCAAAGGAGGTTTTTAGAGTTTCACGATTTACAGACAAGAACTACACTCTCTTCCGAAACTTACCAAAACGTGGCCAAAAAATTTAAGCTGCCAGGATATCCACGCCTCAAAGCAATGGTGAAATATTCATGTGCACGCACAAAAAAGAAGTCAACATCAATGACTTTTGTTTCAGAAACTCAATATGCGAGTTTTACTTTTTTTTCAGCCACTTGCTCTAACGGAGGCGATGCAACTATGTCATCTGGATATAAAAGCGAATGAGTGTAACAATCAAACCGAGCTTTACCCAATTTTGACCCCATATTACTAATTGTTTGTTTCCGAGTATCTTTGAAGATCGACACACTTAAGAAAGATGAGTGTCAGTCTTTTTCTGTGCCAAAAAAAGAACCCTCAGATATGATTTTCTTAGCGGTTGCTGTGACGCTACCTTCAAAATTACTTTATCATGGTCTCTCGCCAGCGGTTGATAAAAAGAAAATAAAACAAACTTTAACTTTTCCTTGTAGAGGAAACGAATGTTATCGGTGAATCTTAGAAACTTGGGGAAAAATAACTCTTACCTTTAATTTGAAGAGAGAATTTTATAGATAAAATTAGCGATGAGTTTTTAACAACATGTCGTGATACTACAGACATGAAAGGAGACAATACATATTTCACCAAAGCCTTTCGCTCCATTAAAAAAAACTTTTTGTAACAGAAAAATGTAAGGTGGAATCGAAGCATCACAGAAACTTTGAAGGAAAATCTTGCCTTTGAAGAGAGTATTTAAATATTTGAGTGCGAATATGCGTTTGAGTTTGAAGCACTCCCTGTAAAAGTTTGCAATATAATATACTTGAGTAAGCACTTAAAAAATAATACGTCACTGACAATACACGCTTCGTTCGTTCACTGGTTATACGAAAGGGAAAACTTTCTTCAGCCATTACTTTGCAAGATGGAAATCAAATATCAAACATTAATTTAACATATGACCCTTGTGGACTCACGCGCGCTTTTATTGAAAAAGAAAATGGTGTTTAAATTACGCCCACGGATAACAAAGCTGTGTGAGAATCTTCAGAACAAGTAAAAAAGGACAAGAAAAGTTGCTAAATTAACGCGTTTAAAAGCCTTTAAAAAAATGGCACCGATAACCTTTAAAAGTCCAAATTTGTGGGTGGAAAGCTAACTTCCACAAGTCTTTGATGTATTCCTTTCGATATGGCAATCGCTGTATGTGATGGTCGCCCTCACTGTCAGTCTCTGGAATATCATCAAGGACAGGAAGGGAAGAGCCAAAACTTTCCAAACGAATTTAAGCAGAATGGAGCCCAACTTCTTGAATGTTTGTCCCGTCACTAAAAGATTATTAACTTCATGCAAATGGCTGTCAAAAGATGCAGTTGATTGTTATTTCAAATGCAAATCGCGCTAATAAATGTTTTGTCTACAAATATGATTGCCCTGTATTTCGAAGTACAGTTTGATTGTCTTTTATCTGATGAAAATATGATTTCAACTAATAAATGTCTGAGAGGGTACTGTTTGTTTTGAAACAATGTTGAATGTCGTTTAAATTGCCAATATCGTTCTGCTATTTCTATCGCGCGTTTTTTTTCCGTCTAAATGAAAGTTATGCGAAAGAACAGCAAAAGATGTGTTATTAACATTTCCTTAATTCTTATCGGGCTATAACTGACTGATATACAGCTGCTCAGTGATTGAAAATATCCGCCCATAAGATCGTTATTTAAATACAACCTCAAGTATGTTTATAGATGTCCAAATGGATAACAGACCTAGATTTGTGACAGACTTCGGTCTCTGAAATTTGTTTTTGTGTAATAAAAGTCAAAGCATGAAATGCTTCGAGTCTGCGTCAAATATTACTCGGTGCTCGGCCTGATACGTTTATTTAATTTGAATTGACAGGTTTGGTTGGTTTTCCCTTGTTACTTGCTTATTTTCTCTCGCCGGATATATCAAGTGGTTTTTAAGTCGCAGCTTACGGATAAACCGTGAACTCGGAACTTGAACGCAGAACGTGAACGCAGAACGTGAACGCAGAACATGAACTCAGAACATGAACGCAGATCATGAACGCAGAACGTGAACTCAGAACGTGACCTCAAAACGTGAACGCAGAGCGTGAACTCAGAACGTGAACTCAGAACGCGAACTCAGGACATAAACCCAGAACGTGAACTCAGAACCTGAACTCGGAACGTGAACTCAGAACATGGACTGGGAGCCTGAACTTGAACTTGAACTGAGAGCCGAAACTGAGAGCCTGGTCTGAGAACTTGAACTGAGAGCCTGAACTGCGAGTATGAACGGCAAGCCTGAACTGTGAGCCTAAACTGCGAGCCTGAACTGCGAGCCTGAACTGCGATCCAAAAGTGTGCAAGATACTTATGTTAAAATCCAATGAAAGAGAATCCTAAAAGTGCGCAAGATACTAACGTAGCAATCCAATGAAAGAGAATCCTAAAAGTGCACGAGGAACTAACGTAACAATCCAATGAAAGAGAATTCTTATAGTGTGCAAGGTACTGACGTAACAATCCAAAAAAGGGAATTTTAAAAGCGCTCAAGATACTAAAGCAACAACTCAAGGAAAGATAATCCTAAAAGTACACGAGAAACTAACGAAATAATACAATGAAAGATAATTTTTAAAGTGTGCAAGGTGGTAACGTAACAATCCAAAAAGGGAATTTTGAAAGCGCGCGAGGTACTAACGTAACCATCAGAAAAAAGAGAATTCTAAAAGTGTACAAGTTACTAACGTAGCAATCCAATTTAAGACAATCCTAAACATGTGGGAGGCACTAACTTAACTTTTGAATGAAGGAGTATTATGAAAGTGGTCAAAACACTAACCTACTAATCAATTAAAAAATAATTCTTAAAGTGCGCGAGTAACTGATGTATTAATCGAATGAAAGAAAAAGTGCGCAAGATACTAATGTAAGAAACCAATGAAAGAAAATACTAAAAGTGCGCAAGATGCCAAATAAAGTAATCATCCAATAAAATATCTTAAAAGAGCACAAGATACTAACGCAACAACCTGACGAAAGATAATTTGTAAAAGTGGCAAGATGCTAACGTAATAATCCAATAAAACAGAATCCTAAAAGTGCATAGGATACTAACGTAACTTTTAAATGAGGGAGTATCCTGAAGTGGTCAAAATACAAACCTAACAATCAACTAAAAGATAATCCTATAAATGCGCGAGAAACTGACATACTAATCGCACGATAGAAAATTCCTTTAAGTGTGTCAGGTACTAACGTAACAATCAGTGAAAGAGAATTCTAAAAGTGTGCGAGATACTAACGTACTAATCCAATCAAAGAAAATCTTAAAAGAGCGCGAGATACTCACCTAACAATCGAATGAGAGAGAATTCTAAATCCCAGATCCCACACGCCTTCGCGCAATCACGAGTTTCCGATTAGCAGCAACTCATTGAATACGTATGAGGTTTACATACTGATTTGCTAAAGTTACGAGTATAACACGAAGAAGCCCTGGTCACAGGAAAAAATTAGATGAAAATGAAACAAATTTAGAAACCTTTGAAATCCACGCACGTGAAGTAAGATGTGGAATTGTGAACATTATGCAAGCTCTTCTTGAGTCCAAATTAAAAAAGTATTTGCTGACCTATGAAAGCGGGATTTCTGTTTTCTGTTTCTTTTGCACATTTAACCGAAATAACGTTTTTGGCTGTAAGATTTATACTGACTGCATCCAAATTACCCAGATCACCCTCCAGATAGGCCCCTGGTTCTTCTAACAGATCTGCCACAGCGCCATCATTGACTGTTTGTTCAAATGAAAATTTGATAAACCTTAACACTGTTACGGTATAATCTAACCAACAGAAAAGCACTACAATCCAACAACCTCAACTATTTTATCAAACAGCGAGTAATGTTGTTCTTAATAAGGAGCGACTCCTGAAGCAGCACAATGCTTATCGTTAATAAACTTAATTGAGCCCAACACCCCACACAGTCTATACCCTAGCTCACCATTGACACAATCTCACTGCTGTCTCCAAAGTTCCTTGAAATAAGCGGCCTTCCACATTAACTCTCTCTCGACATAGCTTTCAAAACAGTCGTGACTCCGACAACAACAACTACTACTTCGACATAAACGAGTCTTTGTATATGTTCACAAAGTGTTCTGGAATATTCCATGAGCTTACCTAGGAACTATTTTAGTAGTATTACATAAAAAATACGTGACTTGATGAAATGTTCTGGAAAGTTCTACGGTATGCAGGCTCTCTCACCGATTGCAATTGCTCTTGATCCGACATTTTCCCTCTTAGCGCGCGCACAAGCATGGAGGGCGCAAATTTTATGAGCCCGAAGATCTGGATATGACTTCGCTTTCCGCGGTGTATTTCGCCCAGCCGTTGATCGACAGAGGATCTGCAAGCGGCCCTGTACGCATCCATGAAAATATTTTTTGAATGAGCGGGAAATTTATGGCCTTTTTCAAGAGTCTGAGACATGAAATTCGAAAGCTGTTGAACTGTTGAAAGACTGAAACTTTGAGAAATGTCCATCTATTATTCAACACTAACACAAGCAAAGCATTTTGACATATTTCACCGAAAGTACTGGCTTAGCTCATCTGAACTGGGAGCCTCATGGCTGAGCTCGGTGCAGAAATGTTCCAGATGTAATCGACCCAGCCCGTTTGCTGGCATGTAGAGTTGTATGTTGCTCGTACTAATCAGATCACCAATCAAATTGCATTTCGGCAAATTAGATTTCGCTTCATCACGAGTCATTTCCTCGTCAACAACGTGTATCTTATCGTGTATTCTAACTGCATAATGCAAAATGAAATCCTAAAACTACTGAGAAGAATTCACGTGGCACCAAGTGCAACTGTTAGTGAATTATTCACACAATTCAAAGGAAGTTTTGACGTTTTCAAAAATAACTCCTGCTTCCGCAATATGCCTGTTTTTCATTTTGAGCGCTTTCGCCTACGATCTTTACTACTTTACTCTCTCGGATTATGGATTCTTTTTTTTTTCTTTTTTTCTTTCTGTTTTTCATTCATTAATAAATTCGACCTTTCCTAACAGTAAAGGCCTATCGTGTTTATATAATAAACAAAAATTAATAATACATGGTTCCCTGACATGCCACAGGCTGTGATATCAGGCAATCTCTCCCTGTATGCTGACGATACCACAGTTCACTGCATTGGATCTACCGTTGATAAAGCATGTAACCAACTAAATAACGCACTTGACGAGCTTAACAAATGGTGCATGACTAACTCGTTAACAAATGGTGCATAACTAACTCGTTAACACCACACTCTTCAAAATGCCAAGTAACGTTGTTACACCGGGGAGCCTTCATTGGTCCATACTCTTTGATTATTATTGGTAACGTTGACGTTGCGTGAGTATGTCACGCAAGGCTGTTGGGTATTACCACTGATAACGTTAACGTCGCAGAGGTATGTCACGCAAGGCTACTGGGTATCACATTTTACAACATAGTTTGCGATAATATACCTCCATTTATTCCAGATTGGCTGTATGACGTAACAGTCCGCATAACTTGGGAGGACATAACAAAGCCGTTGTTCTGCGATTTTCCGCCTATTTTATGAAAAATTATATTCGTTATAACGGCGCTGTATAGTGGAGTTTTGTCTCAGACTAAGACTCTTGAAGTTTTTTAGGCAATTTTATAGAAATGTAATATAATACCTTCAACCTAATCGTGTTCAAATAAAGGATCTTACTTACTTACTGGGGAAAGTCCCGACAGTAATTCAATATGTTTGTCTTCTCACTTTCAGAAGCATCAGCCACGAAGTCTACATCTTGTGCGATTAATTATCTTTCATACCGCCCAGTTTTCCATCGCTGAAATGACTGAGTAACTCAAGAGAAATAATGCTCTTTTGGAAATGCCCAAGCTTTTTCGAACTTCATGTTTGCACTTTGTAATTACATGTCATTCGAATGACACGCCGCGAAAGAACCGCCACTACAGTGAAATAAATTTAGAGCGCCCTTTTCAAACCTTTGTAGCATTATACCACTTATTTTATCCACTAAGTAAAGATATAGGCTCTCAGGGGAAAGCCCGCTTACTCGTTTTTCGATCTTTATGCTTACACACTATGTAGGTATGTAACGTCATGAAAGTAGTTCTAAAACGACTTTTGTACCATTGCACTAAAGGTACACTCCCTCTTGATATATCGAGTTAAACAATCCTACAGACTTTTCATACCGACACGCGCCAATGTGTTAGTTACAACCACAATCTCTCGCTGCGTCAATTAACTTAGAACAGCGATTTCTCTCGTTTCAGCAATCAATTTAAAACTTTGCGAAAAGTTATCATAGGACACCATGTTACTTCCCCATGCTCCAATGCTGTTCAGCTGACGTTTGTTTAGAGTATCCTTAAAGGGAATACCCAACAAAATACACACAGATACCCAAAACACTAAGACAGCGGAAGTTTTAATGTTAAGAGAAAGTCCCGTCTGTAAATCAATATGTTTGTCTGTTCACCTTCAGAAGCATCCGCCACGAAGTCTACATCTTGTGCGATTAATTATCTTTCATACCGCCCAGTTTTCCATCGCTGAAATGACTGAGTAACTCAAGAGAAATAATGCTCTTTCGGGAATACCTAAGCTTTTTCGATCTTCATGTTTGCACTTTGTAGTTACATGTCATTCGAATAACACTCCGCGGAAAAACCGCCACTACAGTGAAATAAATTTAGAGCGCCCTTTTCAAACCTTTGTAGCGTTAAACCACTTCTTTTATCCACTGAGTAACTTTTAAGATATAGGCTCTCAGGGGAAAGCCCGCTTACTCGTTTTTCGATCTTTATGCTTACACACTATGTAGTTATGTAACGTCATGAAAGAATCATTCTAAAACGACTTTTGTACCATTGTCCAAAATGTACACTCACTCTTGACATATCGAGTTAAACGCTGCTACATATTTTTCATATCTACACGCGCCAATGTAATAATTTCTGGTAACAATTACAATCTCTCGCTGCATCAATTAACTTAGAACAGCGATTTCTCTGATTTCAGCAAATAATTGTACATGTTACGAAAAGTCATCTTAAGACACCATGCTACTTCCCTAGTCTCCAATGCTGTTCAACTGACTTTTGTTTAGAGTATCCCGAGAGGGGATACCCAGCACAATACACGGCGATACCCAAAACACTACTACAGCGGAAGTTTTAATGTTAAGGGAAAGTCCCGTCCGTAATTCAATA